CAACTCTTAACCAAAGCACCACTCCTGGCTGGCCCCAAGTATGCATCTTTATTATTGTTTTAAAAACCCAAAGCTGTAGCATGCTATGTTGTGTGTTTTGCAACTTGATTTTTTTCATCCAACAGCATGGTTCTGAGTGTGACACTTGCTGATACATAGAAAGCTATTGGGTTGTCGGAAAAGTCATGATGCATTTTTGCAACAAAAAACATAGAAAAAATACATCATGACTTTTTCAACAACCCAATAGTTCATTTCTCTCAGCTTCTGTACAGCATCTCATCATTTTTCTTTTCTTTTTGAGCGATTCCTGTGTTGATGGGCATGTGTGTTACATTGCAAACAGCAGTTGAGTGAGTGTAACGTGTGGGCCTCATTTATTTCTACAGGCAGAAATTCTCGAGGCCAGCGGTTCTCAACTGGGCTGCATGCAGATAGAATCATCCAGAAACTTTTATCATCACACCAGTGCCTTATGCCCAAAGATGATTGGTCTGGAGGTGAGTGCCTGTGGTTTAGGAAGCTTCCCGGGTGGTGTGACTGTGCATCCAGGTGAGACCCATCGTTCGGGGCGTCCTCAGGGGTGGAAGTGGTGGAGTTAGTCTGTCAAATGGGGTGCACACCCCCTGTGTACTGGGCACTACCCAGTCGCCTCTCAAGGTAGCTGCGCTGATTTGCACCCACCAGCTGCGTGTGAGTGAATGGGGACAGTTTTGCATTAGGCATGAAGGAAGGAACACGAGTCACTGCAGCCTGGTGAACCATAGCCCTCGTCCCCTGCAGACGCCTCTGCGTGGCCCATCGCTGGGCTACAGGCCACATGCTTTGTGGCTGCGGCAGGTTGGAAATGCTTTGTGTCCATAGGTGGCAGTGTGGCCCAGCCGCAAAGGCTTCTAGCCTGGCTTCTAGCTGAGACCAGACTGACTCTGCCTCCCTGGTGTCTCCCAGGCCAGTTCCCCACGCTGGGCCTCAGCGTCCCCACCCTTGAAGGGAGGAGAGCTGCTAATCCTCACCTTTAGGCTAAGTCACAGAGTTACATCCTGCCAGGTGGTCAGAGCACAGGCCCGGAAGCCTGATTCTTTATCATTTCCGTGCCTGGGCCCCTTCTCGGAGGCGTTTTCAGTTATAAAATCCATGGGATTACAAAGGCAACCAAATACACACGCACGCACACACAAATATTCAGCTCGATTGAGGTATACTTGACAAATAGAACTGTAAGATACTTATAGTGTACAATGTGAAGATTTGATATGCCTATGCATTGTGAAAGAAGTCCCCCCCTTGCCGTCAAGTTAATTGATAACATCCCCATCACCTAACATATTTAAGTTTTTTTATTTTTTGGTGAGGACATTTTAAGTTCTGCTCGCTTAGTAAGTTTCAATCTGCAATACCGTGTTATCCACTGTCGTCTCCATGTTTTACGTTAGATCCTCAGGCTTGATTCATCTTAAAACTGGGAGTTTGTACCATTTTACTGACCTCTGTCTATCTGCACCCTCCTCCCACCCCACAGCCCCAGGCAACCACTTTCTACTGTTTCTGTGAGATGGACTTATTTATTTAGATTCTACATGTAAGTGATACAGTGTGGCATCGGATCTTTCTCTGTCTGGCTTATTTCAGACCTAATTATATATATTGAAACACCGTGGACAAAACATAACAAAGGCAAGTTGTGATACAGCAACACCCGTGCTTTTCTAGTCGCACGGCACAGGCCAAGACCTGGTAGTGGGCCGGGCACATTATTACGATTGTAATTTACAGGCAGTGATGAGTGTAAATGATATTCCAGGATATCTGCAACGGAGGTAATGGGACATGACAATGTCTTTGATTCCAACTGGGGACAAAGTCTCGGGGGCTGCTGGCAGCATTGCGGCTTGCTGCCTACATTCACAATGGAAGGAAATGCTACATCTCAGTCAGATGTCAGGATAAATAAGAGAGAGCTCATTTTCCCATCCAAGTTCGCTGATCCTAGATTACAAGGTCATGGGCCCCAGGCTGAGAGCCTTTGCTGGACTCAGACTTGTCTTTTAGTCCCCGTTTCTACAGCTTCCTGTGCAGGTACATTTGGGTGAATTGCTTTGCCTTTGTGAGCCTCAGTTTCCTCATCTATAAAATGGGCATAAGACTAGCGAGCTCAAAGACCTGCCCAGGGGAATAAATGTGATAAACCAAACTCAACACACATTTGTTTATTTAAAATTTTACTGTGTTAAGAACATTGAACATGAGATTTACTCCCGGAACAAATAAGACAACCAATTTTGGCCAGGATGTGTGTGGAGAAACTGGAACCCTTGCACGCTGCTGGTGAGAATGCAAACTGGGGCAGTCGCTGTGGAAAACAGAACGGAGGTGCCTCCAAAAATTTAAAAACAGAGCTAACATATGATCCAGCAATCCCATTTTTGGGCGTTTGTCCCAAAGAATCAAAGTCAGGATTTCAAAGAGAGATGGTACCCCCCTGTCCATTGCAGCGCTATCCGCAGTAGCCAAGGTGTGGAAACAGCCTGAATGCTTATTGACAGGTGAGTGGATAAAGAAAAGGTGGTCTCTACACGCGGTGGAATACCACCGGGCCTGAACAAAGAGGAAATTCTGCAACGTGCGACAAGACAGACGGACCTTCTCGATATTTATGGAGATCTTTCTGTGTGTTTTAGGTGCTGGGGACTCTATACTGAATGAGAGAGGCAAATTCCTGGCCTCAGGGAGTTCACAATCCAGGGACAGGGACAAGTAGCCCAGGAAATAAGTGTGGTTTCGGGTAACGTTAAGGGCTGTGAGGAAAATGGCAGGGCTATGATAGACAGCAAACCCAGTGCAGGCAGCAGTAGATCGGATAACGGGGATCCTAGCACACGGAACAGTTAATTAAAGTATTGGAGGAGAGAAGGTGTTTGAAGTACTTGGCGCAGTGCCTGGCAGTTGTGGAGGCTCACTGCATGTTTGCCACGGTGAGGGTGACACCGCCACCTCCCCTTGCGGCCGGCAGTCCCCTGGGGGCACACTGTTCGTCCTCCCAGCTTGTGGGGCTGATGCTGGCTGAGCACTGGGTGATGGGAGTTGGCGACGGGGAGACAGCGGCCCTGTCAGAGCCGGATCTGAGGGGAGCAGGTCTGATTAAAGGAGGATAAAGTCTTCTCTGTGCGGTGACTTGCAGGGAGAGCTAAGCAATCAGTGGGTCTTGCAGATCAGTGGAGGGTGCTTGCAACCTGGCAGCACAGGGCTTTTTAATTAAACCTGTAACTGTGAGGAAAGGTAACTGCCTTATTCTGAAGCTCGTGTATCTGTCCGCCTGCCAGGAACCGAACAAATCAGGGCATTTCCCAAGGTCCCGGGAAGCTTTATGAGGCGGCCTCTGGTTTCAGGGGGGCCACACCCTGCTAGGATGAGCACCTGGATGGCCAGGGGGTCAGGTATCAATTCTGGAGGCTCAGGTGTTGTCTTTGACATTTAAACACCCACAGCAGGTGTGATTACCAATTGCACTTCTGGGAAGGTGACTGCCCTTCTCAGCAATTTCTCTCCCAAAGATGTCAACATTACTTAAAAAAAAAAACAACAAAAAACCCCAACTTCCTTTTATTATAAAATAGATCTTTGTCATGTAAGACGTGATCCATGGACCAGCAGGCTCGGCCCCAAACCTCCTCAGTTAGAATCTGCATTTTAGCCAGAGCCCCAGGAAATTCACGTGTTCATGACAGTGTGAGAAGCACTGAAATGGGAACCTGGGAGACAAACCAGCCCATCGCCAGGGCGCAGATCTTCATTTAAATCCTGAAAAGAAGGTTAAAACGAGCATGACGTTCACGAGGCACTTTGAACACTGTGGATATTGGAGGACAATGAGCAATGAGTAACTTGTTAGGTGTGGTAATGGGGGCGTGGTGGTATTACAAGAATGCTTACCTTTTAGAGCAGCGGTTCTCAACCTGTGGGTTGCGACCCCTTTGGGGGTCGAACGACCCTTTCACAGGGGTCGCCTAAGACCATCGGAAAACAAAAAGATATTTACATTATGATTCATAACAGTAGCAAAATTACAGTTATAGAGTAGCAACGAAAATAATTTTATGGTTGGGGGTCCCCACAACATGAGGAACTGTATTAAGGGGTCACGGCATTAGGAAGGTTGAGAACCGCTGTCTTAGAGTGACACGTGGACATACAGATGAAATGATTTCAACTCTGACTTTTGTTCGGAAATACCCAGGTGGAGTCAGGGTGTGGCCGGGGGTTGGTGGTTTGGAGACCTGGGTGGCGTGGCAGCCGGTGAAGCTCACTACACGCGTTTGTTAACTTAGTGCGTGTTTAAAGCTCCCCATAATGAAAAGTTAAGACTGAAATGTAACATTCACGTAAAAAACGCGTACGACGTCAAGGTGTAGTGAAAGAGTAATTATTCACGCGCACCTCCACACATCTGTTACTAGATCATTGCTGGCCACGCTCCCCCAACCCCTTCCCCAACCAAGGTAACCCTTCTCTCCCACGCTCTCGGTGGGCATCACCTGTGGGATCACCTGGGAAGGCTTTATAAAATAATGGTGCCGAGCCCCTCCAGGGCCCTGAGACACTGCCCCTGGGGGTGGAGCAGCACAGCGGAGAATCCAGGAGAGTTTCTGAAGGCAGGTAGGCTATCTTTTTCACTTGACATTTTCAGTGAATTTACTGCTCCGTTGTGTCAAACATGCTGTCTTGCTGACTGTTTCTCTCGGAGGCCTGGGGTACTGGGTCATTTTGAAAACACAGGTTACGTTTGGCAGTGGACATGGCAGCCCTTTTTACAAAATGATGACAGTTACCACCTAGTGGGTGCTTGCTGCATGCCTGGCTCGCATTAGGTACTTTATGTGCATTTTTACCTCTAACCCCACACCTGGGGGGCTGGCCTCACTATCCCCATTTCAGGGATGAAGAAACAGGCCCTGGAGAGTGCGTGGCTGGCCCAGGGTCACCCAGTTTAGAAAGTGCAGCGTGCAGGCCTCAGTGCTGTTCACCCTCATGTCAGGCTGCCCGTGGAGGGTGCAGAGGGAAGCGCTGAGGGCCGTTGGCTTCCCCAGAAGAAGGAAAGGGAACCTCAGTAATGTGCCGTCGGTGCAAATCACCCTGAGCCGTTTTGTGTAAGTCAAACGGGGACATGGCCCCTTTGTGTTCTCAGCTCAGCCTTTCTATTTTTTGGTTTTGTTTTGTTTTTAGCTGAGCCATCCTGCTACCTGTTGGCAGCTCAGCGGCTGCTCAGCTCGGGCTGGACGCGAACCGCTGTTGCTCAGAGCTCAAACTCTTAACCAACTGAGCCATTCGGCCGGCCCTTCAGCTCAGCCTTTCTTACTCATCTCTCACAGTTGCGTCAGTTGTCACAGGATGGGGAGGCAGAAAACGCCTCCTGCAGTGCAGGTGACCTCTGGCTGAAGCTGAGTTAGCCACGCCCTCCTCCAGCCTCACTGAGCGCCTGTCCAGGCCTCTGAGAACCCTAGGC